GAATCAGAAGTACGTAACAGTGTGTGTGAACCCAGCAAGGCTCAGTTCTTAACTTCAACAAATTCTCTAGAGGTAGAAAAAACCACTATGTTTCAGGAATTTTACCATAGTGTAAATGGAGTATCATTGTTGGAAGAGAGAACCAATGGAAAGCTACAACAACATGTGAAACAAAGTTCAAGAGTAGGCACAAATAATATTCACAATTTCCACTCAACATCTGGCCGTCCATGCAGCTTTGGAAATCCACAAAAGCAACAACTGCTAGTAGCCCCTTCAACAAACTATGAGTCATATTACTCATACATACAAGGCCTGGACACTTTTCAAATGAATGGTGAGGAGTTTCCTTGGCCTGACACTGTTTCCATACACAACGAATTTCAAGACAACAGTTATATGAGATTTGGCATCAATGGAGTTGGAGATAGTGTGATTAAACCCACCGAGATGCAGCATGGAAATGGAATATCAGGGTCTCCAGAGTTACCAACTATGAACCCTTACAGACCATTAAGCAAACACTCAGCCTTTATAGGAGATACTTCTCAATCTAGATCTCATACAAACTATAATCAACATTCACCTAACCATCACCTTGAGGGTCAGAAAACCTTCCAATCAGAGAGCAAGACATATGTAGAATCCTCAAATAAATCTCACAGATTAGGCAAAGATCATGCAGGGAACGATCCCATCAATATATTAATGTGTGCAGAAGAAGTTTTTGACAGTGAAAAAATTATATCCCCGGAAACCAGACAAGTATGCTCTGATAATATTCAGGCTGAAAAGAAGGCAAAGAAGCAAGTTTCTCCAGGCCAAAAAGACAAAGAGGGAAAACTCAAGGTTCGAAAAGAAAGAAAAACAAAGCCTGAGGCCAACAAAAAGCATGAAGATGACTGGGACAAACTAAGGAAGGAGGTAGAAGAAAATGGGACAAAGATAGAAAGAAACGCGGATACAATGGATTCACTGGACTATGAAGCAATAAGATGTGCCTCTGTTAAAGAGATATCTGATGCTATCAAAGAGCGAGGAATGAACAACATGCTAGCTGAACGAATCAAGGTATGTTCAATCACTCAAGTTTGTATAACACTGAATTTTAACTAAAATGCAATAATACTGAGATATAGTACTTCTATGTTATGTCAGGAATTCCTGAATAGACTGGTTAGAGAACATGGAAACATTGACCTTGAATGGTTAAGACATGCTCCCCCTGATAAAGTAAAGTAAGCCAAAATCTTTTATCACCATTAACCAATGTCCTTCTAAGAAAGTTTCTATTTTTAGCAGGCACTGTCAGCAAATAACAGAATATAATGCAAATTAACCATGTCCTTTCTACTGGTTTCCATATACAATACCAAATGCAGGGACTACCTGCTAAGCATGAGAGGGTTGGGGTTAAAAAGTGTGGAATGTGTACGGCTTCTGACACTTCATCATCTTGCTTTCCCAGTAAGGCAATTTGAAATCCATTTCCTGCTTATCAGTATGCAAGTCATTAAAAACCCTTGCAATAACATGTTGCTATGGCTCATTCCTTGAAGGTTGACACCAATGTTGGAAGGATCGCCGTTAGACTTGGATGGGTTCCTCTCCAACCACTTCCTGAAAAACTACAAATACACCTCCTTGAATTGTAAGTATCTTATTGCCAACCAGTAAGAAGATAAACATATCACAGATAGAAACTGCTAACTACTATTCCGTGCAGGTATCCAGTGCTAGAGTCTATTCAAAAGTATCTTTGGCCAAGATTGTGCAAACTTGATCAAAGAACCTTGTAATATCATAACTTCCCTAAAATCTGCATAAAAGTAATAATAATAACTGCTTTATTATGCTAGCTGAATCTATAACTAAGAGATATAACTGGAATGCAGGTATGAGCTACACTACCAGATGATTACATTTGGGAAGGTATGCGTAATTTCTTTCTACATTTAATATGGTATTCACAAAAAACATAGTTTTGTAACTAGCTTTGCTCTCCTTGAGATAAGAAGTTAAAAGTAATTCATGTTCCAAATATGTAGGTTTTCTGCACAAAGAAAAAACCAAATTGCAATGCATGCCCAATGCGAGCAGAGTGCAGACATTTTGCCAGTGCTTTTGCAAGGTTAGCTACTCAGTATGTCAGTTGCATTACATATTGTAATCAACTTAATGCAAAATGCATGTGAAGCTATATATCAACCCATTTCATATTCTTCAAACAAAACAATCAGGTCACAAAAGTCTTTAAAATTGCATCTGAGACTTTAAAGTCATAGCCAGTTCAAAAGAACAAAGACTAACGTGTAAAAATAGACATGTCAGTTTAATGAGTTGTTACTTTCAGCGATAGTATTCTAGTATAAAGTGCATGAAAGGCTTATTATATTTCTATAAGACGACTAACCCTTTCAGTACAGTGCACGGCTTGCCTTGCCAGGACCAGAAGAGAAGCAAATTGTGAGCATGCCTGTTCCCATTGCAGAAGAGAGAAACCCTCCAAATTTAAACCTGGTGATCCTATCTCTCCCTGGGAACAACACAAGCATTGAAGCGTGTCCTCAAAGCAAGCAGTGTGAGCCAATCATTGAAGAACCAGCAACACCAGAACAGAGTACAGAGGCATTAGAAAGTGACATTGAGGACTTCTTTTGGGAGGATCCTGATGAAATTCCTACTATCAATGTCAATCTCGAAGTGTTTGCAAAGAGTTTACAGAACCACATGCAAGAACATGAAGGTGACCAGTCTAAGGCCCTTGTTGCCTGGAATCCACAGTCTGCTTCCATCCCAACACCAAAACTGAAGAATGTGAGCCGGCTAAGAACAGAACACCAAGTGTGAGTGTAAATAGTTTTCTTTTTCTTTTTTCAAATTTAGCAACCTATAAGTGTCCTAGAAAATTTAACTCAGTCGGACTTCGTTTGGACTATGAGTTAATTTCAAGTAGAGCAAACAAAATGCAGAAACTAAATCATCACCCACAGGCTTACAGGTCCTTAATATAATTATATCTTACTTTCATACATATGATTTTCTAAATTGTTTAAATTAAGTATTTTTGGAGATGCAGAGCATTTGAATACTCATTCTCAAAATGTAAGCCCAAAATGATATGGTGTTGTCGAACCTCTCTGATTTCTAGGCCTAGAAAATCTATATTTTAAATAACACCGCTGTAGTCATTGTCATACGTAAACTCATTATAAATTCCTTGACTCTCTATAGTGTATGACTGATCTGTTTTCTTAATGGAAATCTAAATGATGCTTTCTAACATCCCCTGATTGATTCAGATATGAACTTCCAGATTCACACCCTCTGTTGGAAAAGGTTAGTTATTCTTTTCTCTGTACTAAAACATGCAGTAATCAGCTTGGGATATTTTTTTAAATATGTTTGTGTACAAAAATTTACAGATGGATAAGCGGGAACCTGATGACCCAAGCCCATATCTTCTTGCAATATGGTCACCAGGTTAGCAGATGATACTTGTAATAAACTCAAGTAATACTTAATCATTAATAATAATTACCATATGCAAAGAATAGTTGTCATCAAAAGCTACTCCTATACTAAAATCAATGCACAAGCACAAGTACATCTAAAACAGATAAATTGAAAAGAAAAAATTTAAGCATAAGCAAGACGATTACTACGTATATGTTAGGTAAAAGATAAAATGTCCGCGCTCATATTTATAAATTTTAATACTAGGTGAGACTGCAAATTCCATTGAACCGCCGCAAAGGAAGTGTGGATCACAAGACTCGACCAGCCTGTGCAATGACAACACATGCTTTTCATGCAATAGCATTAGAGAAGCTAATTCACAAATTGTGAGAGGAACAATTCTGGTAATAATTAATAATTTCTGAATACAGACAGGGCGATGAAACACACTATTTTCTAGCCTTATAAATTTTGTAATAACTTTCACAAATGTTATCCCATATACAGATACCGTGTAGAACAGCAACAAGGGGAAGCTTTCCACTCAATGGAACTTACTTTCAAGTTAATGAGGTAAGTGTAAATTATGTTTTTTTACTGTTCAGTAACCTTAACAGATACACCCTTGTTTTAAATTTCAATATTCCCCACCAAGGATCTTTAAAAACCTTTTTTTATCATGAAGTTATTTGCGGACCACGCATCCAGCATTAAGCCCATAGATATCCCTAGGGCATGGATATGGAATTTGCCAAGGAGGACGGTATACTTTGGAACCTCTGTATCGTCAATTTTCAAAGGTAGGGGAAAAAATCCACATGCTCATCTACTAATATCTATTCCAAACTATTTTGTCCGAAAAGTTAAGAGTACTCACAAAAAACTTTTATGTTTACTAGGTCTCTCAACCCAAGAAATTCAGCATTGCTTTTGGAGAGGTACGCAGACTTCCGTAAAATATATGTTTTATTTCTTCTCTTATTACTCTGCAAAATTTTAATAACATATGAAAGAATAAACCATTTCAATTGGTTTTCTTCATGGCACATTAGCTATCACCTACACTCACAATGATTCCAAAAGCAATAAACTTCCAATCAAAAGATTGATCCAAATGTGTGTCTGTGCATCATTCTGGAATGACTCAATATCAGCCTTGTCGGCCAATAGTTCCCTAAAAACATCATGAGTACCATCCCTCGTTACAATAAGTGTAGTTCCCATATGCATCTAAGAAATATCAATGTTCAATCTTGTCATGCCTATTAACATTTTGATACTTCATTTCAGGATTTGTCTGCGTTAGGGGATTTGATCAACAAAAACGTGCACCTCGCCCACTTTTTGCCAGATTCCATTTTATAGAAAGTAAAGTTGCAAAGACAAAAAAGTGAAAATAAGAATAATGGGACGTGTTGATAGGAAATTTACCAGCAAAAGCTAATATTGAAGAACAAATTGTCCCAACACCAGATGGGATTACCCCCAGAGTGACAGGAGATCGACAACTAGCCTACTTTTGTATCTTCAACTATTCTTTTTCAAATGTGAAACAAGCACGCAGCAAGGAATGAAAAACGTACAATGCTTTTCTGTTTAGGATGTGAAATCCTGCAACCAGTGGCGTTGACCTGTATATCATTTATATTTAAGCACAAAACAGCAATTCATCAAAAACATGCTGAAATTATACAGCAATTCATTTATGTTTAAGTGGTTGTAAGTATTGCATTATTATCAATAGAATAGTTCATTGATAATTTACATAAATTGAACAAATGAGAAATCAATCGGAGTAGTTTACTCATGAATGTCGAGTAGTTTGATCATTTTGATAAAAAGTACACAGTGAGTTGATAGGAAATATCAATAGAATAGTTCATTGATAATGAACATAAATTGCAAAAATGTCAAATCAACCAGAGTTCAAGGAGAACATCAAAATCCTTTCTAAACTCGAGAATAACAAGGACGACGCATATGAGAACAAGAGCCTTAAACTCATCAAGACGTAGAGTAAGATCGTGAACAAAACAAGTAAACCCAATGACGCCATTGGGGAACCTAACACGAAAATTCACCTTAAAAAAAAAAACTAACACAAAAATGGCATAAATCCATAATGTTAGAAAAATCTACAAATGAACACAATCACAAATCGCTAGTCTCTATAAACATAACTAAATCACCTTCATATCAACCAAATTCCGTTACTCTTGTTATCGTAAAAAGTAATTAGAAGTAAACACAAGCACGGTGTGAAAAGAAGCTATGTGGAGAGTAAAGAAAGATAACATACGTTAACTGTACCGGGAGCTTCAGTGTGGGATCTGCGATTTCTAATTAGCAGAGATTTTCGTAGCATCCATAGAAGGTGGTAACGATAATTTGGGGAGAATTTGGTGGAGATGGAAGGATGAAGATGAAATGATAGAATTAGGGTTTGAAAGAGTGAAGAGGAAGCAAAACATGTGTCGTTATTGCTACTTGCCGCCATTTGCTATTTTCCCTCCCTATCATTTTTTTCAAAAAATGAATTTTTTTTCTCCTCTGTTACGGTAATGCTATATCGAGACACTCTTAGTGAATAGTGATAGCTCATGCTTCGTCTACGTGACAATGACGAGAGAAATTGGGGACAATGAAAATAGTAATCACATTAAAAAAATATTTAAAAAAACATTCTTATGACAATGACGAGAGAAATTGGGGACAATGAAAATAGTAATCACATTAAAAAAATATTTAAAAAAACATTCTTATATTCTCGAGTGAGAGCTAGGTCACATATATGGTTCTATAAGGTTTGAGAGATTAATTTATGTAATTATTCGTATAGGATATTCGATTTATATCCACACAAAAATATTCTTATAATGGTCGTAAATAGTTAAGTTACTTAATAATTTTGCCGTCAAAACTATAGATAATTTTGTAATTTTTGAGATTTTAATCCCTTGTGTCGAAGCAGTATGTTCTCGACGTAAATAAGAGTGTGTCGAAATAGTCTAATGTGTGTCGAGTTGTATAGTATGTTGAAGTGTCAAAGAAGATGGCTTCACACAGAATTTTGAATTAGGTCTAAAAGTTACTTTTGACTTTTTTGTATTTGTGGGTTTTGTCTTAAGGAGCAAGCAATGTTCATTATAAATATAGTGGGTAACCTTTATTTTGTTATAACTTGTATTCACATAATTTGCAGTTGAAAGTGAATAAGATTTTTCCACAATTTGTGGGCAGTGAGAAACTCTGCAGAAAATCATTATTTTTTCTCGATTACGTCAAACCCTAATTCTTTTTTCATTATTATTGTGTATTGATAATAATCTTGTTTATCAATATTGATAGAAATTCTCCATAGATTTTGGTAGATTTCCAACATCTAGTATCTAGAGTTTTGGTTGCGCGATTCAAGGCAAGAAAATCACGATGGCATTGAATCATTCAAATGATATTTTCCAGCAAATCTTCCAATTCTAAAAGTTGATAACTATGAGAATTGATGAAAGCAGATGAAAGTTGTGTTCTGTTATCAATATCTTTGGGATCTTGTGAAAGAATAGTTAGAACCGCTTGAAGAAAACGCAACAGAAGAAGAAGAAAAAGAAAAAGAGGTTGCACACAAAGAATTGAAGAAGAAGAATTATAAATCTCTCTTTATAATTCATCAATGTCTGAGTCTAAACAACTTGAAAGGTGAGTGATGTAGAATCTGCGAAAGAAGATTGAGAAATTATGTAAAATTCCTTTGGAGGCGCAGAAAAGGTGAAAGATATGAGGTTACAAACTCACAAAAGAACGTATGAATTACTTCAGATGGAAGAAAGTGAAAGCATAATTAATTTCTTCACTAGGTTATAAAACTAGTTAATCAAATTAAAGTATGTGGAGAAACGTTAACAACAACATCAGCTATTACAAAGATCTTGAGATCTTTGGCTCTGAAGTTCGACCTCGTGGTGGTAGCCATAGAAGAGTCAAAAGATTTGTTGAAATTGACAAAGGAAGAACTTTAAGGGACGCTTGAATCTCATGAACAAAGAATGACTGAAAGAGTTGCGGGCAGGTCGAAGAGTGATGTGGCTTTGCAGGCTCAATCAACAAGAGAAGAAAGGTAGGGGGAAGTGATGAGTTAGGATTCAAATGGGTTGACCTTGGCAAGGCAACTCATATGAACGAATCATTCATCATGGCTACTCAAGCAAAACAAGGTTTTTTACGTGACATACCTTTCAGACTTATCAATGAGACGGTTAATTATTCTCCAAGTAAAATACATTTCTTATAGTGATGAAAATTTTGATATCTCGTCCACTACTTCTTACGCAACACAAGTGCCTACTGTTAGAATTAATTTAGATTTTATAATTAATTTATATTTTATAATTAATTTATATTTAGGAATATCTTTTAGATTGTTTATATTTTTGTTAGAAAATATATATATATATCTTAGATCTTCTTATATCTTTGTTTGAAGATATGTTTTAGATTTAATTTTTGTGTATAAATAGCCTAGTGATGTAGCTCAATGTAATTCATTGTAAATTCTTATTTTGAAGTTGTCAGTAAATATTCCTTTTGCCTTTTATCTTCCTTGTGCACCAACAATTGGTATCTAGAGCTCCGGTTCGAAATCCACGGGGAAAAGAAGTATTGTGATTAAGAATTACAATATTCTGATTTTGGGGGTTTTGAGAAACATTGATTTAGGAAACTCTGCGTAAATTGCTCAAAGGTAGAAGATGAACGGGAACAACGGCGATATTCATTCCAAGCTTCCAGTATTTGATGGCAAAAACTGGAATCGTTGGGAAATTTATATGCGCGTGTTATTTGGTTCTCAAGATGTGTTAGATCTTGTCACTGATGGCTATGATCTGTTAGAAGCAGACGCAACAGAGGCACAGAAGATAACACATAGGGCGCTAAGGAAGAAAGATCAGAAGGCGTTGTTCTACATCCATCAATGTGTGGATGCAAATGTGTTTGAGAAGATTGTTGATTATGAAACAGCAAAGGCTGCATGGGACACACTAGTCAGATGTTACGGTGGTGACGCATCAGTGAAGAAGGTGAAGCTTCAGTCTCTCAGAAAGCAATATGATAATCTCAACATGAAGGACAACAAAAAGGTTTCTGAATATATCTCTAGAGTGATTTTGATCACTAATGAGATGAAAGCTTGTGGAGAAACTCTGTCTGAACAAGTAATTATTGAGAAGATCTTGAGATCTTTAACTTCTCAGTTTGATTACATTGTGGTAGCAATTGAATATTCCAAATATCTGAGAACCATAAGAGTTGAAGAGTTGCAAAGTAGTCTAGAGGCGCATGAGTTGTGTATGACTGTGAGAACTTTTGAGAGGGATGTAGAGCAGCAGACTCTGAAAGCAACTTCTGGTAAGAAGTATCAGAAGCAGACTTGGTCAGAAGCCAAAAAGATAACTAAGGGTGGTCAAAGGTTAAAAGCTTCAAACTCTTATAGGCAGAAGAATATCCAGAAGGGAAAATGAGAAGTCTGACAAAAAGAATGTTCAGTGTTATTGTTGCAAGAACTTCGGTCACTATGCCAAAGATTGCTGGTCAAACAAAGAAAGGAAGTCAGAAGAAGCAAATATAGTCAGAGGAGAGTCAGATGATGAACCTGTGCTATTGTTGGCTTTTAAACCTGATGGTCTGAATTCATCAGAATGGTGGTATATGGACACATGGTGTTCAAACCACCTTACTGGAAACAAGAAATGGTTGGTTGATTTTGACTCTGGGAAGAGTACAAAGATCAGATGTGCTAATGATAAACACCTCAATGTAGAAGGTATGGGAACTGTCAGAATCATTCTAACAATGAGAAAGCAGCAGTGATCCAGAATGTATGGTATGTACCTGGCATGAAAAGCAATCTGATGAGTGTGAGACAACTGATTGAGAAAGGTTTTTCAGTTACCATGAAGGACAATCTTCTGAAGTTGTATGAATGTAATCAGAAGTTGATTATGGAGTCAGAACGGGGAAGGAACAGAACATTCAAGGTGAATGTTAGAACTGCAGACTCTGAATGTCTTAGTGCAATAAGTGTTGTCAAGTAGAGTGAGATGTGGCATAGAAGATTTGGTCATCTAAATTTCAGAAGTTTATGGCATCTGAAATCAAAGAATCTGGTATATGGAATTCCTACAATCAAGAAGCCTGAAAAGTCATGCAATATGTGCATGGAAGGGAAGCAACCAAGATTACCATTTGCATCAGAAGTAGTTCCAAGAGCAAAACATGCCTTGGGAGTAGTACATTCTGATGTGTGCGGTCCTTTTCCAATAGCATCAATTAGAGGGGATAAATATTTTGTGTCATTTGTTGATGAGTTCACCAGAATGACATGGGTATCTCTCATAAAGTTCAAACACGAGGTATTTGCTGAATTCAAGAAGTTCAGACTGAAGGTTGAGAATCAGAGTGGACAAACTCTGAAGATTCTTAGAACTGATTGTGGTGGTGAGTATAACTCCATGGAATTCAGAAGTTTTTGTAAGGAGAATGGAATTGAACATAAGGTTACTGCTCCCTATACTCCTCAACACAATGATCTTGCTGAAAGAAGAAACCAAACTTTGCTTGATATGGTGAGAAGCATGCTGAAAGAGAAGAAGTTTCCTCATACTCTGTGGGGAGAAGTTGTTGCAACTGCATGTTATGTGCTCAACAGATGTCCAACAAAGAAATTGAAGGAAATAGTTCTTATTCAGAAGTGAACTAAAGATAAGCAAAGTTTTAGTCATCTGAAGGTGTTTAGTTTTGTATGTTACAAACATGTCCCAGAAGCCAGAAGACAGAAGTTGGATGATAGAAGTAAAGTGATGTTGCTGGTGGGGTACCACAGTACAGGTTTGAACAAACTTTACTGTCCAGAAACTAACAAAGTTGAGTTCAGCAGAGACGTCATTGTAAAGGAATAAGAAGTTTGGAATTGGGAAAGGTCTCGTCCTGACTCTGATGAGAGAACTCCTGAAGAAAAGTCAGAAACACATGTTTCTGAAGCTGGTAAAGACTCTGACTCTGAAGAAGATACAGAAGGAGAAGATGATTCTGACTCTGACTTTGATGGTGATCCAGACTCTGAAGACAGTCAAGGTTCTGGAGAAAGTCTAATTTCTGAAGCAAGTGCTTCTGAAGGGGAAAGTTCTGGTGTCCAAAGTTCTAAAGGTCCAGTTCAGAGGTAACAAAGAGTCAGGAGCATCCCAAGAAGATTTGCAGAGTTTGACATGTTGCAAGACATTGAAGTAGACTCTGAAGGAGAAGTTATTCAGCGTGCAATATTAGTAGAATCTGAACTCGTGAGTATGGAAGAGGCTCTTAAGCAGCAAGTTTGGTTACATGCCATGAAAGAAGAACTTGATGCTATAGAAAGAAACAAGACTTGGAAGCTAACATAACTTCCAAAAGGCAAGAAAGCCATCAATGTCAGATGGGTTTTCAAGCAGAAGCTAAAGCCAGATGGAT